ATAGAAAGTTCTTCTAGAGGGTTTTTTAAAATTATTTTCATTTTGTGTGTATGTGTTTGGCTGCATGTATGGAAAATGCACCATGGTACAATACCCACAGAAGCCAGGAGAGTACATTTTATCCTCTGGAACTGGAACTACAGATGGTTGTGAGCCACCACATTGGTGCTGGGAACCAAACCCAGGTCCTCCGCAAGAGGCTGCTATGGCCATCTCTCCAGCTCCCTACAGAGTTTTATTTTAATGAATGGAGTAGAAAATATCTGGGCACATTTCTCATAGTAAAGCCAACCATTTTTTCACAGAATTCGCTATCCCCGAGGAGAATATATTTTCTTACTGCACATCACAATCATAAAAGTTCAGAACACGCTGATTTGATGGCAAGCAATTCTTTCAAAAAGCCTCATTGCTAGCCTGGCCCTTCCCCTTGTGCCATTCCAGAGTTCCTCTCCAGAGAGTTGCTCGCTTGCTCCAGACTGCCTTCCGTGTCCAAGTAAACACACACACAAACCGTGATTCTCCAGTCTCCGACCACTCCTTCTCACCCACGCTCACTTTGCTCTCCACACTCTGTGTCTGTCTCTCTGACTGGACAATGCAGCTCTAGTCCTGCTGTGTAGACTGCTCAGTCTCCCTGCCCTTCATCCCTGGCTCATGTTGGCCTCCTGAACCTCCCTCCCACCTCTGCCTGTGCCCAAGGAGCATTTCTCTTTCTTTAAGACCACTTCAAATGTCTCTGTAAGCCGAATAATCCTGAAGCAGCTCCCTCCTCACCCTTAGGGTCCCTTGTCCATGCCTTTATGCAAGTCCTTCTGTCTTCCTCATAGTCCATGAGTTTTTTTACTTTCTCCATGCCTGGGCCCTTGCACACACTGTCCTCAGCATTTACAGTGGTACTCAGTGCACAGTAGTACTCAGTGCACAGCAGTACTCAGTGCACAGCAAGTACTCAGTGCACAGCAGTACTCAGTGCACAGCAAGTACTTGGTGTATAGTATGTTTTCAGTGTATAGTAAGTACTCAGTCCATAGGAAATACTTAGCATATAGTAAGTACTCAGTGTGTAGTAAGTACTCAATGTAAGTATGTTCTTAGTATGTAGTATGCTCTCAGTGTATAGTAAGTACTTAATGTATAGTAAGTGTGAAGCAGACATGAGAAGCCAAGCCCATCACAACCTTGCCCCTTCCGGGTCATTTCCTCCCAAGCCATGGTGTAAGCCTTCTGCTCCACAGAGATGGCTCTCACTAGCCCATCACATTGCTCCTTTTGTCCCCCATCGAGGTACATCGCTAGAATTTTAGTGACTTATGGTGGACCTTGTCAAAATTTTCATTGCACACCCCAGGGAAAGATGGAGGGTTCAAAATAAATAAATAGATAGATAGATAGGTAGGTAGGTAGGTAGATAGATAGGTAGGTAGGTAGATAGGTAGGTAGGTAGGTAGATAGATAGATAGATAGATAGATAGATAGATAGATAGATAGATAGATAGATAGATAGATAGAAAGACAGATAAAACACGTCGACCCACCTCACCCACTTCCGTCTGTGATGGCTCCGCATCACTAGACGAGCTTGCCGTCCTTGTCCTCTAACGCGGTCTTCCGAATCCCCTGAGCCGTGCCCTCACTTTTGAGTGGCTATGATTGTACCCTATGTCCTCCTCCTCCAAGTCTTCCTGTCTACACCTAAACAACCTTCCTTTCCAGGCACTTTTACCAAGTTACTACCCTACTCCCCACGACCTCTGACCCACGCTCAGTCTATCCTCAACCTTTAGAGCACGTCACTGACACATACCAAGATACTGTCCGACACATACCAAGATGCCCCTTACATCATGGGATCCATCTTTTCATTGTGTCTCTTCCAATGACTATAACTAAGTATACACCCACACATGCATTCACACCCACTCATGCATTCACACACACACACATACACACACACACACACACACACACACATACCTACTCCTATCTTCAATCATTTGTTCATTATCTATACTTATTAATGACTTGTTACTAAACACACACGCAGCCTAAAGCAAACTGTAGTCCCTACCTCAGAGCTTCTGGCCCAGTGCAACTGTCAACCTCAGCACCACCGACATTTGGGGCTGAACCATCTTGGTTGTGGCAGGCAACTTGGGCCTTGAGGAGTTTTCAGACATCTCCCCTGCTTCCTCCTCGATGACAGCAACATCTCCTATCCCCACGTGACAACTAAAGACGTGGCTATTTGTTGGGGGCTGTGGACCCCCAGACCCTGAATTTCCTGTAACCAACTTGTTTTCCAATGCTTGCAGCTGCTCCGAGCAAAACAACTTGTTTTCCTGTGTTTGCAGCTGCGAGACCCTCGGGAGTTCCTGATGGCAGGGGAGTGGTTTCTGGTGGGTTTGGCTGGGGCGTGGCTATCAGTTAAGGATCCTTATATAAGCTGTCCCTGAATACAATAAAGGGAGCATTCTTGGGGAATTCAAGAATGACCCATGTGCCCATGTCTCTGTTTCTCTGTCTGTGTGTGTGTCAATCTCCAGGCCCTTTCCTAGGCTTGCAAAAGAACCTTCTCGGAGTGCAGGCTCCGCACTACAGGCATGGTACCACAGTACACGTAGTAGCACGGACCACAGTACACATAGTAGCTATATATGTACACATAGTACACATAGTAGCTATATATGTACACATAGTACACACAGTGCAGCTATTCTAATGTCTAAGGGCGAAATTGACCTGACAGAGTCCTACTGGTCTACAGCAACAAGTGGAGTTTGATATTAGCCCCTCGGGGCCTGCTAGAGAGGTAGGTTTCCAGATGACAACCTAGAAAGGAGTTCGGCCCAAGGGCCCAGGAATCTGTATCTCAGGGCCTTCCCAGGGAGCTCCAGTGCAGGTCTGTGCTATTTCCCCATGGGAGCCAACTCCTAGCAACTATGATGTGTGATGAAATAGGACACACAAGCTTGACATTACAAGTTGCAAGACACAGAACCAGGGGAGCCTGATGACAGAGCAGAAATGGAGCCAAGTGTGGCAGTGCAGGTGAGATTGGTGGGGGAGACACGGGAGGGGCAGCTCCATGCCTTATCCCTGGCTGGGCTTCTGCTTTCTTCCTTACAGCTGTGTGTGTCCCTCCCCTGTCCAGATCTTAACCTGCCTCCACCTCCCCAAACAGTCTCCCCTGGCCCATCAGATGCTCTGCTCAGCCATGTACTTCTTATCTCACTCGTGGTCATTTGTTTCCAGAGACAGACTTTAATCCCACGGAGCACTGGAACCGCACCAGCTTCTTTACAGCATCCCTTCCTTGGTTCCCTTCTAGGATGGAACATATACCAGTCTTGACAGTTCGGTTGCATTAAACAGAATTCCTGAAGTGAGGCCTGCACGGTTTTACCTGCTGTTTAGCAATCAGGGTCTCTGAGAGTTGGAGAATGGGAACCAAGTGATATACCTGCTGGGCTCTGGGCCACCAGTCCATCCATCCAGACTCAGGCAGGGTTTGACAGAAAAATCGGGCGGTAGTGTAGTTGGCACCTACTTTGACCTGATATCTCTCTCCTGTCCCACCAGAAGCTCCATGAGCCCCAGCAATTCTGGATAGTTACCAGCAGGGGGAAGAAACCAAGAGCTGCCCCCCACTGAGAAGCAGGTACCAAGATCCAGCAAGGCTGCACAGCAGACAGTTCGGGAACCATCTTAGTGGAAACGATCAAACCCAGCAAGTCAGGAGACTAGAGAGTGTATTTAAAGACACCAGTACCACACAGAGCACATGAGCTGGTGCTAACTAGGGAAGAGAGCTGTCTGGGGAAGTCTGGAGCAGTGGGTGACTGGAAACGAATGTACGAGACAAGGGGTCACATAGCCCTCAGTTCTGGAGAGGTACAAGGAAGGACAGCCGGAGGGCTTAGCTCTGCTGCGGGGAGCAGATCGTCAGCAGTGACCCTCCCCCTCCCACTCTTTGGGCAGCCCCGAGTGGGAGCATATGTGACCAGTGCAAACCCCAGGACTGGGAAGAAAACAGCACTTAATTTTTGAGGCACTTCTGAGATGGTGCGTGTGTGCGTGCGTGCGTGCGTGTGTGTGTGTGTGTGTGTGTGTGTGTAGACATTTCCATTCCTATCCGTTTGAATGGACAGCAGTGAGATGAGATAGGCACTGGTGGTAAAGGAGGGGCCTGCAACAGAGGGGAGAAGGGCTCTTTCCACCAAGACCCTCGCCGGGAGCGTGGGCAGAGCTCCCACCGCCAGGCAGGCAAGTAGCCGGCAGCAACTAGGGCTCCACCAGACACCAGAGCCACGGGATTCGCACACTGAGACTGAAGTTGTGAACAGCATCGACTGCCCTTTCTCTTCAAGGAGTTTGGCTGTGGATGGAGAAGGGGTGAGAGAGCCCAACTTCTGCTGTTCTGATCTTTGGGGCTAAGGATGGGAAAGAACCATCTACTTCGAAGGCCATCAGCTTGTCTCACAGATCTAAAATTTATTGTCCCTTTGTGTGACCACAGACAACCCACTACCACCCACCAAATCCCGGGTTCCTGGGGAGAAAAAAAAAACCTTTACCTCCAAGGTCCCCCACAAAAATTTATGACTGCCATACTAAGAAGAAAAAAAGAAACCTTTGACCTTTCAGTCACAGTCAAATGACCACGAAAATGTAGGTTTGGGGGACAGCGCAGCTCTGGGCATACACATGCATTTATGGTCAGTTTAGCTGCTTGGCGTTCCAAGGTGCTGCCCACGTTCACAATAGAACAAAGTTCACACACACACACACACACACACACACACACACACACACACACATACCCATAACCCCACCACGACAGGCACACAGCTGGCGCTGTCCTCCAGCTGGCAGCAGAGATGGAGATGCCGTAGGGCACACCACTGAGGTGCACTCCGGCTAAGGGCAAACCTCCTGTCACCTGCTCGGAGAAAGCCACCTCTAGGCTGGGTGTATTCCATCCCTTCAGACTTTCTTACCTCTTGATGTAGCTCCTGCTGTACAGGATCTGCTGCAGCAAGGTCACCAAGGCAAAGGCGCAGATGAAAATGAAGAGCAAAGTTCGGTTCCCCAACAAATCCCGGTTGGCTGAGGGGTCTGCGTAGCGCATCCTGGCGGCCCGGCGCCGCGGATGCACCGTGCGGGGCGGCGTGGCAATCACGCACGCTGTGTGGGGCCCCGGGGGGCGTTAGGTGAACTGTCAAGGCTTGGCCAGGAGGGCAGAGGACTTCGCCAGGCAAAGTTTCCCGCGGGCGCAGCCGGGAGCGCGGTGGCGAAAGGACAGGGCCAGTCGTGAGGAGGTCTGCCGAGCCCCAGGCCTGTCCTCGCGTGCTGCTGTCTCTGGGCGCCGGTGTCCCGCAGCCGCCGATCTGCCCGTGGAGGGGCGACGGCAGGTGCCCGAGTCGGGCCGCCCTCCCGCCGAGGTGACGACCAATGAGGAGCAGGGCCGGCCAGGCTGGGCTGAGACTCCGCGCGGCGCACCGCCCACTCCGGGCTGGCTCCGGATCGGATCGGGGGCAGCCTGAGCTTGGGGCCGGCCGATGGACAGCGTGTCTGATCCCCGCGCCCGTAGTCAGTGAGTGCGAAGGTTGCCCTTCGGTGCTGCGGTGGCGAGGTGGGCTACGCAACCTGAGGACGCGGGGCTATGAAGAGGGGGAAGGGAGAAGCGGAAAGAGCAGGGTTGGAATCGTGGGGTTCGGAGGAGCGCGGGGACAAGCGCAGACCGCAGAGCCAGCCTCGTCGGAGACGAGCATTTGCATGCAGCGCGCAGGGCACTGAGTCACCGCGGCGGCCGCGTCCTCGCGCGCTGCTGGAGAATCCGCGGTGAAAACGGAGCAAGGTCAGCCGGGCAGCCCTTCAAGGACGGCGCGCGCGGCCACTGCATGCTAATGGCCTGAAGGGTTGTCCCAGGGGCCTCGACTCCGGTCTCCTGCTGAGCAGAAAATCGGGGTCTATCCCCGCCAACCCCTGCTTCCCCCACCTCCCCGGCCACTGGCCTCTACCCTTTCACCATCTGCAGCTAATGGCCATTAGTCAATAACCCTGTTGTCACCCAGACACTGGGACTTTGTCTTATCCTTGGAACTATTCATAGACCATAGGTCAGCAGCCGGCCAACTTCGGGTACGACGGCTCCCCAAAGCTTTAAGAAGTCATTAGGTCCAGTAGCGAGCGCTCCGTGCTTCAGTGTAAGCTGGTGAAATGATTCCAGAGATGCAACGGGAAGGCGGTGGTATCCCAGAAATTCTTACCTCCGAAGAATGTCCACCCCTACCAGATTCCAGGCTCGCGACAGCCGTTCCATCCTTCCATCCAGACATGGCATAGGCTTGGAAGTCAGTCACGTGCCTGGGGCATCCACTACTCAGCTCACTCTGTATATTAAGGTGCCCTTCCCAGGACCTTTCAGACACTCCCTAGGTCCTAGAATCATGTCTGCCTTGCACTCAAAGTTTGACCAACACTCAAATCGCAGCAGGAAAAAGAATTTTGGCAAGAAATGCCCAGACTCCAACCCCTTCAGCCTTTGCATTTAGCAATTTTTTTTTTTACCAGAAAGACCAAGGGATGCATGCTAAGTTTCCATGATTAAGGAGCCAGCAATAATTTCAACTGTGTTCTTTCACAGGATTGAAATACTAAGTATTATCTTTGAAGAATGTGTAGCTTTCTATCCCCTGTACCTATCAGTGGATAGGCTTTTTAGCCAATTAATGGGATAATCTAGAAATCTGGAGGGCTCATCACTGTCTGGTTGGCCTTGAATCTGTTGATGTTTTACACATCAACCTTTAATGGCTCTCATGTACGCTAATGAATTTTCACCTCTGTCTTCTATCATGGTCTACAGTTGAGTGGGTCCAAGTGCCAGTTACCTAGCCTAGCAAGAAGTTCTTGAGTTTCAGGTTTCCTGTACATGCTGGGAATGGTCAGTGTACCCCAACAACAGCACTGACTTAGACTTAGTGCTTTTCTCTCCTGCTTTCTTCCCTTCACCACAGGTTTTTGCTCTGTAGCCCAGGCTGGCCTCTGACTTGTGCCCATTCTCAATGCAGGGTTAAGGCGTGTGTCACCATACCACACTCAGGTCTCTCTAACTTTTTAACAGGGACTCCTGCATACCTACCACTTGCCACTGGGTCCTCCACATATTGCGGGGCAGGTCCCACACCCAAGTTCCCAGCTGACAGAGCAGGGACTGTCAGTCTGGTTACCTTGTGCCTTCCTCGTGTGAGGTTAGAGAGGAAGACATCCAGAGACACAAGCAGTCACTCAAGAACTACATGAGCTTCTTATTCAGCTGTGGAGGGGGTCTCTCTAGCCTAGAGACCAGAGTCCACTGTCTGCTTCTAAACTGGGGTAGTTAGAGAGCAGAATGGGGAAGGGAAAGAAGGATTTAAAAAGTTAACATTTTTGGCACATGGCTGTCCCTCTGTGTTTATAACCAGGGAGTGGTGCATTAGAGAATGTCAGGTGACAAATGAGTATCTCTTCGGGCACATTACTGGGATCAGTAGGGCAGGACGGACAAACATGCAGAGAATCGGATTACTTTAGTTCTTGGAAACTAATTTAGTTTTCAGATCGTTGTCATTCAACCATATGGAGGAGCTATACAAAATGGAGTGGCTAGCCCCTCCCTCCAGCCCTGGCACCTTGTTTCCTTTCTCATTCCACTTATCCTCCCTCCCCATTTTGAAAATTGCCTTTGGATGCAAACTTCTCTGCAAAATAAACCAAAACAAATCCATTTTACAGTAATGAATCCAAATTACCCCCAAGAACATTTTAATTGAAGTATAATACATTTACCAAAACAACATGGACCACCAGCATATAGCTCACTGCGTTTTCATAAGCTGAGCACAGTGATGCGGCCAGAATAGAACCAGAGGAGAAGTCCTCCCCACCCACCTAGGATCTCATCATGCTCCACTATGGCTACTGTGCACTCAAGCGTTCTGAGGCTCGAACTCTAGGCATCAGGCTCACACAGCCAAGGCTTATACCACTAAGCTAACTCACAGAGCCAGCTCTGACTTAATGTATTTCCGGGTTGTGGCAGTTTCTGTAAATGGAATATTGTTTTGTGTCTAGCTTCTTCTGGCTCACTGTTAGCCATGAAATCCATACATGTTACTGTATATGTATGGGTGTACGTACACCCTCTTGTGCACACATTTTTACCAGTCATGTGGATGATTGCTAACACAGGGGCTGCTGGGCGGAGGGTCTTCGTATGTCTTCAGGTTGAAGTCAGGTGGTTGAGATCAGTAGGTGGCTCTCTACGGCCCTGATCACATGAGCCCTTGAAGCAGATTGGGATCTTCTATGGAGGTGATTTGAATCATTCTTGGGACTGACTTGAGAGAACGCTCACTGATGGCTTTGAAGATAGAGGAGACCTCTTGGCAAAGTACTCAGATGCCCTCTCGGAGGAGAGACTGGCTCCTAGCCAATAGCCAACAACCACACAAAAAAAAGACTGAATTCTTCCAACAACCTGAAGAAGCTTTGAAGAGGGTCCTGGGCTCCAGCTGCCCTGACCTTGAGACACATCAAAAATGAGACCCCACCCCTCAGCTATTCAACTTGAAGCTCATCTATGTATTCCTCACAATACTAAATGTATTGTCCTTTCACAACAGGACAAAACCAGTTTCTAGTTAATGTCTGTGCGATCTCCTGCTGTATAATACTGTAGCATGCCTGTCTATCTTTCCTTTTGCTTTGTGTCTTTAGGGCCTCAGATTGAACCCAGGAACTTGTGCATGCGAGTCAAAGCATAAGACCACCATACCACATGGCCAGCGGTAGCATTTCTACTGTTGATGGACATTTGGCAGCTGCTGCCCTAAAGTTTCCAAAGCCTGCTCCTTGATAGACTAACACATGCATATCTATTGGGCATCTGTATTTGGAGATTTTCAGTCGGATAGTGTATGCATGTTCAGCTTTAGTGACTACTGCCAAATGGTTTTCCAAAATGACACGTTATTTATAACTAGGTATTTGCCTTGATATCACCAAATGAGGTGATGTGAGCATTAATCTCCTAACCTAATGGAAAAAAAAGAGCACCAAAATTATTGAGGGACAGTAGCAGCCCCAGAGGTCCTTACTCTCTGTTACCTGCATGGACTTGCAGGCAATAAGTTTGATGCAGGTGCTGGGGACAGTTGGGGATCTGTGGAAACACCCATGGGGTGGCTCTCCATCACTCTGCAAATGGCCAGCAGTAATCTCGTCCATCTCTGCTGACGCCAGCCCAATGGCATTTGATATCTGATTTCTTCAGATCAAACCAAAGAGTTATATTTAACCCACCCACAAATGTCTTGCAAGGCTAGTGGAATCAGAGAACTAAGGTCATGAAACGAACGAGTTTGAAATCTTTGATCCTACTGGCAATGTGGAGCCAGACTCTACCTTAGGCCAAATTTATGCTCTGATTGTAGAATTGCAGCAAACATTCAGAAGGACTTACAAACAAAAGAGTAGACACGTGACCAGCAGATCACAATACCAGATTCGGTGAACACCATTTTTATATTGCAATGGCCAGGGATGGGGACAGCTGCATCATTGTTTAAAATACACACTCACGCACAATTAAGCCAAGAACAAATGTCAACATTGGCACAATCTGCTAAAATACTGATAACTGATGGGTATTACTCATGCTGTGAACATTGTCTCCAATATAGAACAGAGCAGCTTAAAAAGAGGAAGGAACTGAGCAGTTTCTTTGGGCTTTTATTTTGTGCCGCCCAACCACAATCTGCGATTATGTAAGTGGCATTCCACACACGCGTTCAAGGAGTGTGTGACAAGGGTGTGCCGTTCTGATGCCTCTTGACATTTGTGCTAACGAGTTAGGCCTGTGAGGGGCTGCTCTTGGCTTGGGGACAATGTTTGTGATGAAAGCGCCTGTTACCATGTGAGCCAATTGCTCTGGTGATAGCCCTGTAATCTACGGCTCAGCTAACCACCACAGAGCTCACTGCAGGTGCTGTGCTTCACATCAGCCGGTCTTGATTTTTAATCACTCCGAATTGTGTACTGGAGCGATAATGTCTACCCCTCATACATTGCCATTGTGACTTACAGGTTGTGTTCCAGGTAATGTATAAGTCACTGGTAATCCTAAACCTTCCTGCCGTGGCATCTCCAACCCCAGAAGCTCCTTCTCACCTTCCAGCAGCCAATCACTGCATCAGAAAGCAGAAAAATTCTGGCCCGCCTCGAGTTTGCCATGTTCTCATAGCTAGCCAGGCACAACTCACAGTGGGATAAGGTCATCTGGGTCCCACTTAGATGACATGGCAGCTTAACTGAGTATCACATCTCCTTCACTCATCCTAAGGGCTGGGTTCTGGGAAAGAAACATGGGATCCAGTTCTACTCTTTAGAGAAAGACCACTGGTGAACAGGGCTGGGAGAATAAATAGTTTGGGTTCTTATCAAGTTTAGTGCTCCTTCAGTACCTACAAAGGGACAGGTGGCCCACTAGGATCATCCACTTATAAAGCACTAATGAAGGCCTCCCAATCCTCCTATATAGATACTCTATATGAGTCATTTAGCCATCACCCTAAGTTCTAAAGCTCCATGTATTCTGTGGACATGGCTGGCATGACCCCTACATGCAGGTATTATTTTGTGCCCTCACAGGAGATTAAAGTCTAGTGAGGAAGTCAGACAGACAATCCGTACATGCTGAGTAACTGGGAGTGGTCAGGAGGGTGGCTGGTAGGATGGACCACAGGAAGGTGTCTAGAAGAAGTATTTGGGGGCTGCAATGGCATGGGAATGGATAGTCAATCCGATGAAAACAATGGGACTAGGTGTTCCTGGTAGAAGCTGTAGCATGAGTAAAGGCTCCAGGGGTAGCTGCGGCTTGTTGGCTCTGTGGGTCTTAGAGATGAGGGTGGTGTGTGGCCCAGAGGCAGAGCCTTGCAAGTTAGGACTCCATCCATGGACCATGGCAAAACTGTATCATAGCTAATCAATCTGCAAAGTGAGGGAGCAGCAT